TGTTTCAGCTTAGCTTTAGCTTAGCTTTAGCTTAGCTTTCGCTTAGCTGTAGCTTAGCTTTAGCTTAGCTTTAGCTTTAGCTTAACTTTAGCTTAGCTGTGGCTTAGCTTTAGCTTAGCTTTAGTTTAGCTTTAGCTTAGCGTTTACTGTTACTACTAATGCTGCTTTCCTAGGGGGTCCAACTCCTAGGTAGGGTCGCACTGGGATAATTTTTGACTCTTTCCCTACCTAGGCTCTGCCTAGATGGGTTCTTACTCTCTTAGTTTAAAGGGGCCGGGCAGTGCAAAGCGCCCCGGGCGGTTCCTCCAGTCCCCTGGGAGCGGTTCCCCCCAGTCCCCTGGGAGCTTTAGCTTTAGCGTTAGCTTTAGCTTAGCTTTAGCTTAGCTGTAGCTTAGCGTTAGCTTAGCTTTAGCTTAGCTGTAGCTTAGCTTTAGCTTAGCGTTAGCTTAGCTTTTCGCCTAGCGTTTAGCTTAGCTTTAGCTTAGCTTTAGCTTAGCTTAGCTGTAGCTTAGCTTTAGCTTAGATTTAGCTTAGCTTTAGCTTAGCTTTAGCTTGGCTTTAGCTTAGCTGTAGCTTAGCTTTAGCTTAGCTTTAGCTCAGCTTTAGCTCAACTGTAGCTTTAGCTTAGCTTTCGCTTAGCTTTAGCTTAGCTTTAGCTTAGCTTTAGCTTAGCTTTAGCTTAGCTGTGGCTTAGCTTCAGCTTAGCTTCAGCTTAGCTTTAGCTTAGCGTTACTGTTACTACTAATGCTGTTTTCCTAGGGGTTCCAACTCCTAGGTAGGGTCGCACTGGGATAAGTTTTTTCTTTTCGTCCAAAATCCTCCTGTGGGGGACACGCCCGACCTGATCCGTGCTCCGTCTTCTATGCGGGTTGCTACCGTCCCCGGCCCGGTTCGTGGGAGGTGCCCCTGGCGAGGGGGCGCGCCTTGCCCAGGAGCCGAGGCCACGGGCGTGGAGCGCACGCCTGCGGAGCGCACGGCTGCTCAGAGGAGCTCGCGCGGGCGGCGCGGCATCTCGCCTCTGGCACGGCGAACGAACCCGCTGTGCGACGACAGCGCGAATCAAGACGCAAAAGTCCTCGTCGCTCACGCGGCCCTCTGCGACGGGTGGCCCATCGCCGCAGCTGCTGCCGAGGAAATCCTCCTCGCAGCTGCCGCAGCTGCTGCCGAGGAACCCCTCCTCAGATGCATCGGCCATGCCATGGTGTGCTCTTACTGCCTGCCCTGAGAGAGTTGGGACCTCTCGCCTGGGCGTGGGCCGACACCGCGCCGAAGGTCGAGGGCACCAGGAGCGCCCTGCAACCCATCGCCACTGGCAGGTCACGAGCACGAGAGCCCCTGGCCTTTTTCGCGTATGTATCGCGCCGCGCGGGGTGGCGGAGCGCGCCTGCGGGATCCACAACTGAGGAGCTCAGTCCTCTCGGCTGCTACGTGGCCTCCTGGTGGGTCCGGAGCGTGGCCTCCTGGCTGGTTGTCGCAGTGCCACGCGTGGCATGCAGCAGAGTGTGCGGTTTTTTTCTCGTGTGAAGTTTTTGTATGTGTCACAGAGGACATGTTGCTGTTCGGGACCCCTGAGAAGATGCAGAATTATCCCAGTGCGACCCTACCTAGGAATTGGAACCCCTAGGAAAGCAGCATTAGTAGTAACAGTAACGCTAAGCTAAAGCTAAGCTAAAGCTGAGCTACAGCTAAGCTAAAGCCAAGCTACAGCTGAGCTAAAGATAAGCTAAATCTAAGCTAAAGCTAAGCTAAAGCTAAGCTACAGCTAAGCGAAAGCTAAGCTAAAGCTAAGCCACAGCTAAGCTAAAGCTATGCTAAAGCTAAGCTAAAGCTTAGCTAAAGCTAAGCTAAAGCTAAGCTAAAGTTGAGCAACAGCTAAGCTAAAGCTAAGCTAAAGCTAAGTTAAAGCTAAGCTACAGCTAAGCTACAGCTAAGCTAAAGCTAAGCTAAAGCTAAGCTACAGCTAAGCTACAGCTAAGCTAGAGCTAAGCTAAAGCTAAGCTAAAGTTAAGCTAAAGCTAAGCTAAACGCTAAGCGAAAAGCTAAGCGACACGCTAAGCTACAGCTAAGCGACACGCTAAGCTAAAGCTAAAGCTAAAGCTCCCAGGAGACTGGGGGAACCGCTCCCAGGGGACTGGGGGAACCGCCCGGGGCGATTTCCATTGCCCGGCCCTTTTAAGCTAAGAGAGTAAGAACCCTTCTATGCAGAGCCTAGGTAGGGAAATACCAAAGTGCCAAATCATCATCACCATCACCATCATCATCATCATCATCATCATCATCATCATCATCATCATCATCATCTTCATCATCACCATCATCACCATCATCATCACCACCACCATCACCCTCATCATCATTAACATTATCATCATCATCATCATCATCATAATCATCATCATCATCATCGTCATCATCATCATCACCGTCACCCCCATCATCATTCACATTATCATCATCACCATCACCACCACAACAGCCACCATGTTTCATCATCAACAGCATCAACATGATAATCTTATTCATCATCACCTTCATCATCAGCAACATCAGCATCATCAGTATCACAATCACCATCAACAGCGCGGTGCCTGGGCTGTGGGCTTCTCGGGGCCTCTCCAGCCGTGGCGTCGTGTTCGCGGCCCTGTGGGGGCCCTTCGTCTCTCGGTGGAGCGTCTTGGGTGGAAGATGCCTGGCTTCAGCATGCTCGTCAACGACCTGGGGGTGGAAGTTTCCCTTACCCTGGTTTCGCCTTGCCTCCTGAAACGCCTCCTCCGTGCGGCTGTTTTGAGGAATCTTGACCGTGATTATGGGCGGTCCCTGGGCCTGGATCGTCGTGTTTGTTTCGACGTGGCCCTTGCGGCCATGAGTTCTTCAGAATTCACCCCCTTCGAGAAAGGGTGAGGTCTTGTCTGCCAGGCGCCCTGGACCAAGGCTCGAGCCGAGGACCACGGCTACATCATGCCTGACACGTTGTGCCCGTTGTGTGCAGTGGCAAGGGACACCATTTTCCACAGGTTGTGGTGCTGCCAGCACGAGTCGGTCGCGCTGGCCCGAGAGGACATCCTCGGAGAAGGGTTCCAGTTTCGGCCGATGGAGTACGACTCGTTGTCGGATGCTGACAAGATAATGTACACGTTGGGGCTGTTTACCCACCCTGGTGACATCTTCCCTCCCCCATCGAAGTGCGAGCCCATGTATGAGCATTTTGACGATCCTGGTAAAGACGATTATACTGTTTCGGGGAATATATTCATGGATGGATCTTGTATACGTTCGGTCATAAGAGAAATGTCGAGGACGGGGTGGAGTTATGTTTCGGTGTCCGATTCTGGGCAGGAGCTGGGTCATGTCTATGCCCCCCTCCCCTACCCCATTCCCCAAACGGCCCAGGCTGGTGAATTTGCTGTTTGCACTGCTGCTTGCCAAAATGCTGTCTCTCCAGCTGTGGGGTATAGCGATTGCCAGAATGTTGTTTCTCTGTGGGCCCTCCCTCGTAGTGAACACTTGTCGTATAAGCGAGTGCACTCGGGCATGTTTGTTTGGACCGCAGACAGTCAAATGGGGCCCATCCACAAAGTGAAAGGCCACATGTCGGACGAGCAGGTGGGTAATGATGCCTATCTGAAGTTCTGTAAGACTGGTAACGACCTTGCCGACCACTATGCTAAGCTTGGGGCCCTAGCTCACGAGAGGCCGTGCCCTGAGCAGCAAAAGTGGTTTGAGAAATGCTTGTCGGCCGTTCGCAAGGTTTTTGTTTTGGCTGCCCGCTTGCTGCTTCTCTGGCATCCGCTCGACTTGTCGATAGCCACTCGTGCGCCCGTCGAGCCGAAACCCGTGCCAGTCAAAGTGCCTCATCTTTGGAAGAAGGTTGGAACCTTCTGGCAGTGCAATCATTGCCTCGCGGTGTGCCGCGGGGTTTTCCCGAGGAATAGTTCGAGTTGCTCAAAGAAGCATAAGCTCCAGTTTGACGTCCTTCAGCAGCTGGAGCATAATTGTCTTGGTTTAGCGTGTTCGGACGGCGGCATTGTCTGTGTATGTGTCCGATGTAAGGCGTTTTCCACTGGCAATTACGTTCGCTACCTGGCTAAACCGTGCCCAGGTAGGCCACATACTACTAGGTGTTCTAAGTATTGTTGGGACAGAATTTCGGCTGGCAAGCACCCCGAGCTCTCGGACGTCTGGTTTGACGCGGATGCTAACAGTGTTGTTCGTTTTTTAATACCACCTAGGCCTGTACCTGGCCCAGCCTCTCGGTCTCGTGTCGCGGGGGCGTGGCCCTGATATAGGGTTTCATGGCATGTATGACTCGTCTGTGCCATTTAAGTGCCGTGCTCGACGGCCGCCTGGCTCCCAGTGCCAGGCCGACTGCGGGACGCCGTGGAGAGCAGCGTAGCGGCAAAAAATCGCCAGCGACAGCATTGCCATCAGCATCATCATCAGCATTCTCATCCTCATCATCATCATCATCATCATCATCATCATCATCATCATCCTCATCATGGTTGTCGTCGTCAGCAGCAGCATCATCCTCAGCATCCTCACCATCAGCATCGTCATCTCCATCATCAGCATCATCATCACCATCATTATCACCAGCATCATCAGCATCATCATCATCAGCAGCAGCATCAGCATCATAATCGTCATCATAAGCATCAACATCAGCATCATCATGATCATCATCCCTCCTCCCCTCCCTTCCCCGCCCCTCCCCTCCCCTCCCTTCCCCCTCCGTTCCTCCCTCGATCCTTCCCTCCATCGCTCCATCCCTTCATCCCTCCTCCCCTCCATCATCCTTGAACCCGAACCCCCCCATCCCTTCATCCATCCACCCATCAATCCGTCCTTCCATCCCTCCATCCATCCGTCCATTCACTATCATTATCACCCCTCCTCCCTCCCTCTCTCCCGCCTTCAGGGCCCCCGTCCATCCTCCCTGGCCCCCCCTCCCTCAACGGCTGGAGCACGAGCGGCGGCGGGAGCCCCGCCCGGCCCAGCAGGCCGGCCACGAGATGCTCGAGGCGATCCGGGAGGCGTGCCCGTCGGCGGCCGAGAGGTTGACGGTGGTCGCGGCCCGGTCGGGGCCGCGAGCCTCCGCAGAGGAGGAGGAGGATGAGGAGGAGGAGGAGGAGGAGGAGGAGGAGGAGGAGGAGGAGGAGGGGGAGGAGGAGGAGGAGGAGGAGGAGGAGGAGGAGGAGGAGGAGGAGGAGAGAGGAGGAGGAGGAGGAGGAGGAGGAGGAGAGGAGGGAGGAGGAGAAGAGGGATGAGGGGGAGGAGGGGGAGGATCGAACAAAGAAATGTTAGCCAACGTGGACCCAAGCAGTGTGTTTCTAGCAAGATGTGTGCTGCGATGTATCGAAGACGCCTGCGGCGAATCACCGTCGCCCCTCTGCGGTTTCGGGAGCGCCTATGTGATATGTGGCCGAACGTAAGAGAAGAGCTTGGCCAAGCTATTGGACTATGTGTTCCCCCAGCCGTCGTTGAAGTCATTCGAAGGACAAGTCAGCGGGAGGAGGAGGAAGATGAGGAGGAGGAATAGGAGGAGGAGGAGGAGGAGGAGGAGGAGGAGGAGTAGGAGGAGGAGGAGGAGGAGGAGGAGGAGGACGAGGAGGCCTCTTCGGAGCCTCTTGGGGCACTCTTGGGGTCTCCTGGAAGCTTCATGGGAGCCGCTTGGAGGCCTCTTGGGGGTCTCCTTCGCCCTCTTGGTGGCCTTCGGGGGGTTGTTGGGGGGTGGATCGGATCGGATTGACTCGGAAGGAGGAAGCGTCAAGCCCCGCAGCGCCGTGTGAGGGGGGGGAAAGGAGGAGGGAAGGGGAGGGGAAGGTGAAAGGGTGAGGAGGGGGGGTCATCGCTCGGGCGTCCATTCCCAGAGCATTTGTCGGCCTCGTGCGTGTACTTTCTCGCAGGATGATCCAGAATGCTCCTCAATGGCCCTAGCCAGGAACAAAAATGCACACGTCCGAGCGATGCAATGAGGTGGTCGGACAGGAGTACGACGGTGGTCGCGGCCCTGGTCGGGCCCGTGGGCCTCCTCCAAGGAGAGGGAGGGAACGGAGGAGGAGCACAAGGAGGACTGACAGCTTCTGTACTTGAAGGTTTGTGGCTCGCTTTTGGCCTCAGAGGCGTGCGGAGGAGGAGAAGGAGAAGGAGGGATGAGGGGGAGGGGGAGGGGGAGGGGGGGGAGGGGGAGGAGGAGGAGGAGGAGGAGGAGGAGGAGGAGGAGGAGGAGGAGGAGGAGGAGGAGCAGGAGGAGAGGAGGAGGAGGAGGAGGAGGAGCAGGAGGAGAGGAGGAGCAAGCAAATCGCGCCAGAAGTTGCCTTTGTTTCGGCGTCTCGGGGCCCGTTCCGGGCCTCACAACCACAAGAGATCGATCCGTGGTGAAAATCGTTTCGGGTGATCCCCAGAGGAGATCCGGATACCGATTCCGAGCGGAAGAAGGGAAAGGAGGACAATGAAAAGGAGGAAGGTGTTTGAATGTTCTCGGGAGGTTTGTCGTGTCAGACACCGTGCGGTTTGATATTATCGGGAGACTTGTCTCAATGGGTCGACGATGCTGGCAGGGGCGGGCGAGGGAGGCAGCATCAGGGAAGAGCGAGGAAAGCGGGCGGAGGAGGCGCACGTGGAGGGAGGCCGGGGGGGAGAGAGGGCAGAGGGAAGGAACGGAGGGGGGGGATGAGCAGGGGGTGGGGAGGAGGGCAGGGAAGCAGAGGAAAAGGAGGGAGATTTGACGAAGGACGGCGGACTCGGGGGGAAGAGAGGAATGAGGACGGACGGGCGACATGAGCGAAGGGGCGTGGAGGAGGGCAGGGGAGGAGCGAGAGGGAGAGGGTAGGGACGGAGAGACGAGAGGGGCAGGGAGTCGGAGGGAGGAGGAGCGAGAGAGGAGTGCGGAGAGAGGGAGGAAGGGCCGGGAGACGAGAAGGAGGAGAAGGAATGGGCAGGGTGCAGGGTAGGCTATACGACAGCGCAAGAGGGCGCCAAGCCGGCGTTCGCCGAGAGCGCGAGTTGGATTATTCAGAGGCATCCGCCTTGGCCCTCTGCCCGCCGGACCGATGCCTTTCCTGGGCATTCCGACGAATGCGGCCAGGATTGTTGCTCCTTGTGCGGGGAATTCCAGTCTTTCACGGGGGCGGGGGGAGGAGGAGAAGGATGATGTGCGAGAAGAGTTTGTCAATCTGTCGTTCAAGTTGTCGGCGGGACTGGCCAGGTCGGGACAGATCGGGGAGATGCTCTTGGCCAATAACGCCGCCTGCGCCCTGGCTGAGTCGATCCGAGAGCGTGGCGGTGATGCGCTGCTAATCTTGGATCTGGAGTCCATGTATCGATGTTGGTCCGAGCTGCTCGTGGTGACCACCGCCATGGACTACGTTGACAAGGGTCACGAAGACATGCAGAAGAACCTTGACGATGTCCCGCTCGTGGGGTTGCAAATTCGATAATGGAGAGTTCACGTCGATCGTTGAAAGTTCGTATTTTTGGATGCTTGGATCCTAACCTACTTTCGGCGCCTTCCTACTTCATGGGTCGAGTGGTTTCCCGTCTTTATTCCTCTTCAGGGGGCGGGCGAAACCCCGATCATTTTCCAACGCCTTCCTACTTCCTACTGTCTGTTTCTACCCACTTCTTCCGACCGATTGGTACAGTCATAATGAGCCACAAGGGCGAACTGTGTTGCAGTGGGCATCCTGTGCATCCTTGATCGGACAACCGTCGGCATCTCCCTCAGGCTCCTCTGCGCCCCCGTCCCCCTCCTGTGGAGGGAATCGCCCCGCGAGGCCCTGGCATCCTCACACTCGCCCTTGCTGCCGAGCCCGAAAGCAATACCGGTCGGTCGTTGAAAGTAGGTATTCTTGGGTGCCGCGATTCCAATCTACTTTAACCGCCCACCTACTTCAAGAGTCGGTTCTTTCTTCCCTCCCCTTGAGAGGGCGGGTGGGAACATCATTCACGTCCAATGCCTTCTTACTTCATTGCTCTACCCACTTCTGACCGACGGGTAGTCCAGTCGGCACACCGTTCGAAGCATAGGATAGGCCGAGCCGAGGAGCAGCGGTCGTGCGAGACCCAATGTTTGCCCTTCAGGGCCATTTCGATCCGATCGATCCGATTCGATATCGATTTTGGCCAGGCCGATCCGAATCTATTTCGAGTTCCCGGAAATCTGATGCGGCCCGATGTTTACATTTTCTTGTTGTGCATCGAGCCTGTTTCTTTATTGCTTGGGCCATCACGCGCGTTCGGCCTTCAGTGCGCCCCCAGCATTGCTGCCGTGCGCTCAGGGATCCGCATAGGAGACCGAATACGGATCCGCATAGGATCCGCACAGAAATCCGCATAGGGATCCACATGGGGATCGCAAAGAGAGATCAGATCCATCGGGGTCCGCATGGCGGTCCGCATAGGGGTCCGCATTTGGATTCCCAGGGATCCTTATAGAGATCCGCATAGGGATCTGCATAGGGATCTGCATAGGGATCCGCGTGGGGATCCGCATGGGGATCCCAGAGGAAATCGCATACAGATGCGCATAGTGATCCGCATAGGGATCCGCATGACAATTCGCATGGGCATCCGCATAGGCATCCGCAAAGGTATCCGCATAGGCATCCGCACAGGGATCCGCGTAGGGATGCGCATAGGGATCCCCGGAGAGGTCCTCATAGGGATCCGCATAGGGACGGTGGTTGCGGGCAAGTTGCGGTGCTCTCAGGCACGTATGGTGTGCGTAGGGGGGAGAGAGAGAGAGAGAGGAATAGGAGGAGAAGGACGACGACGACGAGGAGGAGGAGGATGGAGGAGGGAGGTAAGGAGCATATCTCTTATACGCCACGTGGAGGCAACGACATCTGCGCAGGCATGTGCTCGCCACAACTCCTCGCCGCTCTTCGTTGTCGGTCGTCGTCGCCGCCATCGTTGTCGTCGTCGTCGTCGTCGATCGTCGTCGTCGTCGCTCTTCATTGTCGGTCGTCGTCGTCGTCGGCGTCGTCGGCATCGTCGGCGGCGTCGTCGTCATCGTCGTCGCTCGTCGTCGTCGTCGTCATCTTCGTCGTCGTTGTCGTCGGTCGTCGGTCGTCATGGCTCGCGGCTGCTCGTCGTTGTCAAACGCCTGCGAATGTTTTCGAGGGCTTCTGGAGGCCTTCGCATGACCTGCGGAAGGCCCCTGGAGGTTTCCAGAGGCCTCTGGAGGCTTCGGAAAACCAGGAGACCTTCAGAGGCGTCGCTCGTCGTCGTCGTCGTCGTCGCTCGTCGCTCGTCGCTCGTCGTAGTCGTACGCGCGGACGCTGTGGTGGCGCCAGAACCGCACGGCGGGGGGGGTTACGTTATGCACCCCCCGGCCCCGCCCCCATAACGCCCGTTATCGCCGCGAATAAAGAAACGCGCTCATCCTGGTGCAGCCGATCCGATTCGATTTCGACTTCGTGCCGACGCAGCCCGATACGATGCAAATTTCGATTCGATTCGATTTACCGATTCGATTCTGATTTATCTTGCCCTTGGCCATTCTGTGTTGGGTCGCCGGTCTGATCAGGAGCATGTTCTGCCCGCTTTGAATGCTTTTCTTCCCACACTGTTCGCGTCTGCTGCTTCCCTCGTCGCTCCCCTCGTCGCCTCCTGTGTTCCCTCCTCGCCCGGTCTGGCTGCTGCCAGGCGCACAACTGTCACGGCTTCTTTGTGCCTCTGGTCTAGGTCCCCTAGATGGGGCCCGAGTAGATGGGGTCGGAGGATCGCGCCGTACCGTCGATGCATCGGCTACGCGGTTGGATGTGGAGCCCGATTTTCACCACGCTGGCGTCGCCGATGCATCGCCGACGTCGCCGATGCATAGCCGATGCATCGGCGATGTATCGCTGATGTATCGGCGCTGCGGCGCGATCCTCCGACCCCAGCTACTCCGACCCCATCTGGGAGGCCTCTATCCTGGGGGTCGGGCGGAGTGCGTGGATCCGCAAGCTCAGGCAGGACCGCGCCATCCGTCACGTGCTGCCGGGGCGCGCAAGTTCTTTCTGCGCCCCAGGGGGGTCCAGCGGATCGCAACGATACGGTAGAGGGAAACAGTCAAT